AACACACAACACCAAGCAGCGAAGGAGGATGGAAGGGCGCCTACATGACGTGGCTGCGCTCTGCCGTCTCGCAGTTCAGGCACGTTCTATGACACACGACGTAAGACACACGATTGAGCATAGGCTAAGCCATGACCACAGGAAACGCGACACCCACACCTTCCCACTCAAGCCCTCAACACCTGGCGACTACCTGGCCAAAGTGGTCATGCAAGGCGACTCGTACGGCACTTTCCTCATCTCTACCCCATCTCTAGATTTGGCTGTGAATAGCCGTGACACGCACACCGCACACCGCACACCGCACACTGCACACGCGTAGTGGCGCAGGAAAATCGGCAATCCTCCACCGCTACGTGCGTGACGAATTCGAAGCCCATCATTCTCCGACCTTCGGCGCGGCCTTCGAGCGCCGCTGTGTAGAGTGGCATGCCAACAGGATCCAGGTGTGCATCTACGCACCATATCTGTATGACACGCGCTCACACATAACCGCACACACTACCGCACACGCACGTGCGATTGTGGTCAGTTGCAATTGTGGGACATGAGCGGGCAGGAGCGGTACAGATCCCTCTCGCCGATGTACTTTCGTGGCGCGCACGGCGCGGTGGTGGTCTACGACATCGCCAAAAGGTCGACCTTCGACAACGTTACGCGCTGGCTGGCGGAAACACGCAAGTACGCTCTCTCTCTCATATTGCCATTGGCTAGTTTTATTAGAATTAATCTTACCTCAATTCATTCAACCACCAGGTACGGGCTGGAAGGCTTGGTCGTGGTGGTGGCGGGCAACAAGACCGACCTGGCCTCCTCGACCAGACGCGCTGTGACCGAGCTCGAGGGCAGGTACAACTTGTCAAGCATTTTTCTTTATTTTCTTGTATTCACGGCACACACGGCAACGACAATGACACAGGGCGAAGGCGGAGGAGTTGGGCGCGCTGTTCTGCGAGTGCTCGGCCAAGACGGGCGAGGGCGTGGCTGACGTGTTCAACCTCCTCGTGGGTCGCCTGATGGGCGGCTGGCAGCGCGTGACCCACATGGCCACTCCGGCGCACGTGCCCAGCGAAGCCCTCCTCGCCCAGCTCTTCCCACACGCCACCGCCACCGTCACCAATAGCAGCTCAGGAGACAGCGTGCAGCAGCAGCAGCCACCAAGGTGTGCGCTCCAGTGAGTGATTGGCCTGGAGACTCTCTCAACGGCGTTGCGGGCGGGAACGGTAGTTGTTGCGCGAAGCGCCAACAACGAAGTTTATTGCGAGCGAGTGTTTTATCTGGTCGTTTCTTTTTCCTCCGTCACAAGCCTGGATGGAAGGCTTGCGGCGTGGAGGTTTTCCTTTTCTGTAAGGAGCGGCATTCTCCGGCGAGGGGTCGTCTGCGTGTGCTCGCTGGAGCGCATCATTTTTTCTTCTTCTTGTCTCTCGACCGACACACTTGTCTGTGGAGAGAGAAGATAGAGTTAGTGAGAAAGTAGAGAGAGATGCAAACGATTCGAGGAGCTACAGAAGAAGAGCTGAGCAGGATGACAGTCGCTCAGCTCAAGGCAATCTGTGCGGAGGTGGGGATTCCAGAGGGGAGAAATTGCAGGCTCACCACGCAAGCCCTCAAGGCAGCAGAAACTGAACCAGGACCATCTGACAGAAGTGATTCTGAGGAGGAAGAGGTTAACAACTCGCCTGGTGGAGAGGAGGAGCTGTCTGGCAATCTGATGAGGAAGGTCTTGAAGGAGCTCACTTCCCTCAAGCACAAGGTTGAAGTGATCAGCACAACCCCTAGCAATGCTGTGGATGGTTGACTGGTTCACTGACCACATCAACTGCCAAGCACCCCACTTCAACAGCCTGTTCCTCATTCTGGGAACAGAGGTGCAGGATGCCTTCTTGGTCTTGTGGGTGGGTGAGGTCAATCTGCTGGTTCTGCCCTTCTACCTTGTCCTGTGGGTGCTTCAGCACCTTGTTGAGTGTTGAGCTGTGGGACTGATCATTGTGCCACGCTGGGAGGCACAGCCCTGGTAGCCCATCCTCCTGTGAGTCACCACCTGGGTGATTGTGCTGGGCCATGGTGCTGACGTGGTGGAGCCAGGTCTGTTGGGCAAGTGTGAGCCAGTGCATGGGTGGTGGCTGATGGAGGTGAGGGTGGTTGATGGCACCTGGTTTGTGGAGTGGAGGTGCTAGCTGCCAGGCAGGCGCAGCTGTTGGCTGGCAGCCATGCACTGTTGATGGTCCTTGGCTATGCAGTGCTGTGGTGCAACTTCCTGGGCTTTGTGGCCTTGATGTGCTGTGCTGCCCTGCCTGCCAGTGAGGACACTGTCATAGACTTCCTCACCTGGCTTGACCTCTCTGGCCACAGTGGGCGTGCTGGTGCAGCTGTGTCCATGATTGCAAGGGAGCATGTCCTCACTGGGCTGAGGGTGCCAAGTGCAGGTGTGTGTGTGCCTGTTATATGACCAGCAAGCAAGCAATATAACAGTAGTTGTTGTGTGAAGCACCAACAACAAAGTTTATTGTGAGTGTTT